GCCCATATCAACCAAAGCAAAGGGAAAGATGATCTCCTTCATAAGAAGGTTCTACAACAGTGTGTCCGATCAGGCCAAGCGCAGCAAGAAGGCCAAACTGAGCTGCACTATTGGCACCAAGGAACTACAAAATGCGCTGAAGCGGGTCATGCGCAAGAAGCAAGCCATGGAACTGGTCCAAACCATCCGCAAAGTGTCACGTCATCACTAAAACCATGCTCCTTCCAGTCTCCCTTTGGCTGGTGCAAGTCAGATCTATGGAAGAGAAGGGAGGAGGAGGAGAAGCCAGCCTTCAAAGGAACACCACCACCACCAACAAAAATAAGCTTCCACCTGATGAAAAGTCCTGTTTTGCCCTAAAGATGCTGAGAAACACTTCACTTTCAAGGGAACAATGACTCCTCAGCACAGAGACCAACAATTTCCATCCTTAATGAGCCAAGAAGGGACCTGAGCTGCAGCAGAATCCTCATGTCTTGAAAAATCTTTGGGAGAGAAACATCTAATTCTTCGGATTATAATAAAATGGGGTTTTACCAGGTTCTTTACCTTTGTTGTGATTTCCTTTTCAGTCATGCCAAAATTTGGAGTTGCTATGAAAGAAGTTTAGGGGGAACCTCCTTTTTTCATAGAAAAAGGTATTGGGAAAACAGGTAAAGGAAAGTGGGCACTGGGCAAGTGGTTTCTTATTCCCTGTGGATTAATAGGCGCACACTCGACGGGGGAGAGAACGCTAACAGAAGTGGATGCTTATAAAGCCCTATCAAGTATATCCAGAATTGGATCCAGACTTAGTCATAGTTGGGGCAGACCCAGTGAAATCAGTGGGACTGAAGTCAGTGAGTTAGATCCCATTGTTTGCACTGGGTTCTCTAAATATAACTAAAGGAGCTTCCAGGTGAGGCTTTTATTATGCAGTCGCCTTGCTTCTTTCACTGAATTTTATTGGGGGTGTGTATCTCCCAGTGACATCATCTTACATTTGTGGCTTGCTCTTGTTTTCGGAATGCATCCTCAGCCCATTTTCTTATCACAGGAAAAAACAGGAAAGGGGAAAGATTAGGAGAGATGCTCGAAGCCCTTTGATGGGGAGCACTAAGCATTCTCCAGCTGGACACCCTCTAAGATATTGTATGTTTATATTTTATTCTAATGTTTATATTTTTAATTTATGATTATGATTATTTAATTTATTGTTGTAAGCCACCCCGAGGCTTCGGTGAATGGGGCGGCATAAAAATGTTTTAATAAATAAATAAATAAATAAGATGGTTGCAGCCCATGCTGTTGTGCCTCAACAGTACTCAGAACAAAGGCAGTTCTGAGCAGAGCACGTGAGAGTTGATGTACTCCTGCTTTCCTGTCTCCTTGGCTTTCTCCCGCGAGGGAGAGTATCTCTGTGGCTTTCCAGGCAGGCTCCATGCCAGCCGCTGCACAGACCCAGGCATGCTTAGATGTAGTTAATTGATTTCTATACCATCCAAGAACCAAGTTCTCTGCAGATTCTGTAAGGTGACTGTATCACTGATGTTCTAGCCATGCTTAAGGACCAGTGTAGGCTTTGGATATACAGTCTCTCCATCCTCAAACCTTGTGACAAATAACAAAAGCAGAAAACTTAACAGAATCTAACATGGGAAACTGAAATGCCCCCCCCCATTGCCAAATTAACATTGAATTCTAAAGTCTAAATTCATCCCACACTTGTGCCGCAGTTAGCTCTTGCAATGGTATTATAATATTGGATTTATGTCCCACTTTTTTTTTCTCTTGAGGGGAAACTGAGGTGGCTTACATAGTTCCATTTTATTCTCACAACAACCACCCTGTGAGGCTAGGCTGAGAGTGAGTGACTGGTCCAAAGTTACTCAGTGAGCTTCATGGCTGAGTGGGGACCAGAACCTGAATCTTTCAGATCCCCGGTCCAGCACTCTAAACACCACATGGACTCTTGGTGGTGGCAGGTTATTTCCATTTTGTGCTAATTACTGCGGCAGAAAAAATGCAGGACCCCCTTTTGGGGAAAAGGTCTGGCTTGGCTTGGGAAACATCAGTTCAACTAAGGCTGCAGGTCTGTGGGTGTTCCCCTGGGAATGAATCCCATTGAATTCATTGGGGTTTGTTTCAGGATTGCAGTGTAAGAAGCAACTTGTATGTATCCCTTCAAAGCTAATGTTATCAGTTGGGCAGAGTGCTTAACAAAGGGACTTGCTCCCAGTTCCAGCCTTCAAAATAATTTCCTTGAGCTAGTTTTATAAGCCCAGTCAGATTTAAAAGCTGGCCACTCCACTGTGGAGCTGTATGCATATCAGTCGGGTATTGCCCGATTCTTGGGCTCCTTAATTCATACTACAGCCTCTGAACACTGCATGCCAGTGGAAAGTGTTGCCAGGCAGTCGTCGTACTCTTCTGCCCCAATTGGCTGTTAAGCTACACTCAGCATCTGTGTCTTGCACATCTGGCCTTCTTGACATTTTATTCCACAAAAGGTTGCAGGGGCAGGCGGGCTGTGAGAGACACTTTTCAACAGCTGTCTTGGAGCTGCAGAGTTCATAAAATGTAAACGCAGTGGAGATCCTGAAGATGAAACTCAAGTACTTTGGCCACCTAATGAGAAGGAAGGACTCCCTGGAGAAGAGCCTGATGCTGGGAACAATTGAAGGCAAAAGGAGAAGGGGGCGACAGAGGATGAGGTGGCTGGATGGAGTCACTGAAGCAATGGACTCCGGGGGACGGTGGAGGACAGGAATGCCTGGAGGAGTGTTGTCCATGAGGTCGCGATGGGTCGGACACTTCGCAACTAACAACAACAACAAACGCAGTGGATTCTGCAGTCCCAGACATGCTTATCAGGGAGCAAGGTGTGGTGAACATGAAGTGGGCTTAGTTCTGAGTAAACATGCATGGAATGGTTCTGAAAGAAGCCCATGGCACCTCAGTAAAATGCAACTCATGTGACCATTACGTGATAGAAAACAGTACACACTAAAGTTCAGAACAGAGTCAATAGGCTGCTACAATCTAGAAATAGTTAAACCAGAAAGCTGTGTTCCTCCAGGTGTTGATGAACTCCCATCACCCTCCTAGCTTGGCCTGATGGGAACTGGAGTCTAACATTTGGAGGGCCACATGTTCTCCAGTCCTCAGCGACACAGTCTGGAACCAGCATATTTTGCATAACTCTCTTTTCCTTCTACATCTTCTGCTTCTTCAAATGAAAGCAGTGTCTTCCCTGGATATCATCGGTAAAGCAAGTTCTGTGGAAGTGCTTGGGGTGGGAACAGGAGGGTTTCCAGAGAGATATCACTTCCCTGGTCTGGATGCCATTTAAAGACTTTTATGTCCTCTGAAGCTTTAAAATAGTTGGTGCTTAATGTTATTTAGATCATTTACTACGATGGCTTTTGAAGTTATTTGTTTTTATTTTCTTTCCTCCTGTCAGTGTTGTATTTTAGAGGGTCGCATCATCTTGGATATTTGAAGTGGCCAGAATCACTAAAAATGCAATCCTCTACAGGTCTACTTAGAATAAATCCATTTGTGCTTACAACATTTACTCACTGGTAATAATATTACCAGTGCAATCCTTTAACTATATACTCAGAGACAAACCTTACTTGATTCAATGGTGCTTGCTTCTAACTGAGTACAGAATTGTGCCCTAAATGTTATATATAAATAACCTGGGGCATTAGAAGTAAATAGCCTCTTCAGAAAAATGTTACGAACGTAAGAACAGCTGTGATGGATCAGACCAGGGCTTTGCGTACTCCAGCACAGAGTAGCCAAGCAAGTGACCATAGGATCCCACACGCGGCACACACACAATAGCCTCCTCCTCCCAGTACAGGCCCATCATGACTAGTAGCCATTGATAGTTCATCTTCCAGGAATTTATCTGATTGCCTTTTAAAGCTGCCCGAATTGGTGGCCTTCCCTACAGCTTGTGGAAGTGAATTCTGCAGTTTAACAACACACTGCGTGAAGAAGTATTCTTATCTGTACAATATCTGACTAGTGATGGCAGGAGGGGAAATCTCCTAACTTCTGTGAGGATGACATCACACAGCTTTGCTAGCTACTTACTGAGAGGCGAGGCAAAGCTGCCAATGCGTACTTCTCTGACGTGGGGGGACCATGTGACCCTTAATATATTCTGGCTTACAACCCCCTCAGCCCTCGCCATTGGCTGGGCTAGCTAAGGATGAGATAAGTGGTTAGCCAAAGCATCTTAAGAGCCACAAATTCCTCACCCCATAATTATTCAATTGTCTCTCTTGGAACTTGGAAGATTGCTAGGGAATAGCAAGTTACAGCTGATCATATCTAAGTCAGTCCAAAATAGGATCATTTAGAACTCTCATCCCTGCCTTCTTTTGGTTACTGCTTGTTCTCCCACTCTGAATTATAAAATTATTATGTTGATGTGAATTATCCCTCAGTCGGGCAACACTGGAGTTCAGCTGACGATGCACCCATGAGTCAGGCTTAAGGGGCAAAAGGAAGCTACAGCTTGTGTTCCCTGCCTGGCAGAAACCCGGGGACACGCTAACAGTGACTGTCCACTCTCAGGTTTGTAGAGGAAAATTTCCAGAAGACTATTGTATACCGAGGAGACAGGTGGTGTAACACAACTGCCCTTCTATTCCTGCCTCACCTGTGGAGACTCAGTTGAGGCCCTCTGGCATGCAAGGGAAGCTGCTTGCTAATTAGGATGGTACAGCATTGGAATGCAGAAAAGAAACAGAGAGCCGGGAACAGCAGATGTGGCTAGTTAACTGTTTTGACTCTTAGATTTAGGGTAGAGAGAGCAGCCTGGTGACCCCGGCCTGAGTGAGTTCCAGTGTGAGATCTAGCCAAGCAAGGAAGGTGACACATCCTGGCCAAGGATTAGGGGCTTTTTCTTGTGGGGGGGGGAGGGGGTCTCCCGATGGCTGATAGAGGGAAGCCAGCTTATTTGGTATTGTATTTCCTTTTTCATGTTGTTATATCTATTTACACTGTAGTGCCTGTTTTAGAATAAAATCTTTAGACTTTAATCCACCTGTGTGCACATTGCTTCTAGATCTAAAAAGAACCTTTTGTCCTTGGCAAAACAAGGTTATTTCCAGCTTCCTCTTCATGGAAACTAGGAGGCAGTAAGAGTTTACCATGAGTAAAACGAAGCATACTCCAACCTGGTCTGAATTGCAGGACAAATGGGTACAATTCTTGGCATCAAAACCTGCTTTACATATTGTTATTCATTCTGTTTCGTTTGTTTCATTTCAATACCAGCCCATAGCCAACACTTTGGTATGGAAATTATGGCAATGAACGTGCCAGCCGGGCCTTAGGGCCACAGAGTTTATGGAACATAAAAGTATCTGTATTTGATTGACAAGTGCATCCAACTAGCTTACAGGTCATAGTCACAGTCAGCATAACAATGGTTCCTTGGCTACAGTGAAGGCAGAACTACCCAATCAGCGTGAGCCATATAGGTTGTCTATAAGTGCCGTTGTCTATAAGTGGTAGTGCCAGAGCAAAGTCTGGCGACATTTGAGGCAGGGGCTTGAGGAGAAAAGGACCATGGCTGCCAAAGGGCAAGGCAGAAAGAAGAGCAGGGATGTGAAGAGGAGGAAGATCCAGACGAAGCATCAACAGATCAGACGGAAGCAGAAGAAGCTGCAGCCTCGGAAGCAGAAGAAGCACCAGTCTCGTCCTAATAAGCGTCAGGTGAAGCGGAGAGCTGCCAAAAAGGCAGCGCGCAGCAAGCAGGAGAGGAAGATCTGCTCCCCGCGGCTCTTTGCCTCCAAGATCCTGCGGCAGATGCCCAAGGTGCGCATGGAGGCCAAGGCCAGGGGCCTGGTGAAGAGCTTGTTGACGGACCTGTACCAGCAGGTGGCCACTGAGGTGGAGGCCTTGAGCCAGAAGGAGGAGTCGCCCCCCATCAGCTGCACCGATGTGCAGAACGCCCTGAAGGGGGCCATGGAGAAGGAGCTGGCCAAGCACACGGCGGCCGAGCCCATCAGCAGCGAGTGTGCGTAGAAAAGCATCCCTCCCTCCTCCAGCAGGGGCAAGAAGGGAGAGGACCAAGTGTTGCCCTGAGAAAGATCCTAATAATAATCAGAGAGACTTTAAAATATTTTGCTGCTGTAATAAGCCTGAGAAATCCTGTAACTTACCACTTTCTTTGATATCAGTTTCACTGCCAACAATCTTCATGCCTAAACAGTTATGAAAGAAGGAAGGGATGTGATTATTTACGTTTAGAAATTGTCCATTTCTAAACCAGAACCAGTGAAGGATAACAGCTGTGATATATCGTTGAAAGAACTGTTTGTGAGGCATTTTCTGAAAGTAAAAGAAACACCATATATGAACTTGTTTTCCAATAAATCAGGATTTTTGCAGCTTTATTCATAAAGTATGTGTGTTCCTGTGTCTGTGTTTCATTCTTCCACTTGGCAATTTGAGTTAGATTGTGTGTTCAGTATGAACTATGGGTGCAGAGCCTCAGGTCCAGACACCAACCCTGGCCTTTGTGTGGTCAGGATATTGCATGCTTTGCCAGATTGCCATGCAACTTCACCACCGTCATATGATTATGATTCTGTGGAAGAAATTAGGAGGGTGGCTACTCGGAGGAGGGCTTTCTCAGCGGTGGCGCCTAAGTTATGGAATGCGCTCCCCAGAGAGGTCCGCCTGGCACCATCGTTATTTGTTTTTAGGCGCCAGGCGAAGACCTTTTTATTCAAGCAGTATTTTAAATGTTAATATTATTGAATTTTATCTGGCCAGGGTGGCTTGTTTTATATTGTATGTTTTATATCATATATTTGTATTTTAATGTATATATTTTAAAATGTTATTTTAATTTATTGTTGAAAGCCGCCCCGAGGCTTCGGCGAATGGGGCGGCATAAAAATGTTTTAATAAATAAATAATAAATAAATAAAATAAATTATGGTTTCCATGCTGTTGTGCTTTCTCCACTCATTCCAAAAATGCCTCTCTCCTAGCTCAGTTAAAGGAAGCTTTAAACTGATCTTCAACTATTTTGTTACTACCCCTTTCACTTTTGACCTCACCCCTGAGAGCTTCTCCGAAGTGCAATTTGACCTTCACGCTGGAAGAGGATCAGTACCTTGCTATGAACCAAGTTATATAATATTTTGATCATCTAGGGTCCCACAGGCATAAAATGGAAGAGATCAGATAATGCCAAGTGTAGTCTTCAGAAACTATGCCTTGTGGAGATTTATAATTGTTAACAGTATTTGCTTATTTATCTGGCCAGGGCGACTTCTTTTATATTGTTATTTATTTTATATTGTTATTTTTATATTGTTATTTTTGTATTTTATGTTGTGAGCCGCCCCGAAGCTTCGGAGAATGGGGCAGCATAGAAATGTTTTAATAAATAAATAAATAAATAAATGAATAAATTTTGCTTTAAAAACCAAGTTTACTGTAGCCCTTACACTTCGCAAAGACTTAAAAAGTAATGCGAACTCTATAAACACATTCATCAACCTAAAAAGATTCTACCTAAACTTATTTAAAATAACATAATAAAAGACATGCACATAACCAGGAGCAGAAGGAATACCAAGTTACATGCAAGTGCATGCAAAGCAAATGTTAGCAACTTCTTGGCATGGGGGTTGCTGCTAGCCCCACCAACCCGCCATGTGCTCTGTGATATGCAAAAATGACTCATTGCCTAGTGAGTATTTGCATTTGGAGCAGAGGGGAAAGGTCAGGAATTAGCATGAGGCAAGGATGCAGCCAGGATCTGAGTGCTCCATTATTTTTTCACTAGGAACTTATTCTGGAGGCCCGAAATAACCCCCCGGATGGCATTCCTCAGCGGTGGCGCCTAAGTTATGGAATGCGCTCCCCAGAGAGGTCCGCCTGGCGCCGTCGTTATTTGTTTTTCGGCGCCAGGCGAAGACCTTTTTATTCAAGCAGCATTTTAAATGTTAATATTATTGAATTTTTCTGGCCAGGGCGGCTTATTTTATATTGTATATTTGTAATTTAATGTATATATTTTAAAATGTTATTTAACTTATTTGTTGTAAGCCGCACCGAGGCTTCGGCGAATGGGGCGGCATAAAAATGTTTTAATAAATAAATAAATAAATTCCTCCCCTTACCTGTTAGATGGGACTTCTCAGAATGCTTCATGGCTGACTTCAGAACGCCCTCTCCTTGTGGCAGTGGGGCACACCTGCCAGTCCAGGGGTCTTCCGTACATCAAAAGGGTGGGGAGGAACTGCCTTGGCCTTCACCTTGTGGGACCAAATGTCTTGGGCTGGCCATGGGTGATCTTGTCACACCGCATATTGATGGGCCCAGGTGCAACAGGCGATATACCTGAAGGTTTAACTGGGAGTGATGGTTTAACTGGGTGTCCTGCACTGAGCAGGTGGTTGGGCCTGATGGCCTTCTGGCCCGTTCCAATTCTACTGTTCTGATTCTATGTAAAAGCACAGCCAGGGATCAAATTTGGGACGCAAAGGAACTTGTCAGCAGAAAATGCAGTAATTTATAAAAGATAGGAGAATGAAGAGCAATTATGAACCTCAGAGCCACCTGGGTCACCCGTGCAGATAACGTCAGAGAAGAAGAGCGCAAGAAGCAAGACAAGTCAGGTGCATGTTGTGGATAAATGTATGCATAGTAAGCTATAGCAACGCTCTGCTATAATTATTAGAGCTGAGTGCAGATGTTAAATGGCGGAGCGAGGTCAAGATCTGAGGACACCATTGGCAGCCCTGTGCCCAGACAAGCAGCAGAGGAAGCGTTAGGGTTGCAAAGCCACCTGGAAAGCAAAGGGCCATGCCGGCCCCCCCCCCCCCCCCCGCATTAGGAGCAGGTTGTAAGGCGAAAAATGCCTCTGAGGGGAGAGGAGAGGCAGCGGGACCCGCGGGCATTTCGCCCCCGCCGCCACAGGCTTTGCTCTGCGCTGTTGCGTAACGCGGTCTCATGGCAGAGGGATACGTTTGCTGGAAAGAAGCAAGATATTAGGGGGAAAACCTTAAAGTGCAATCCTTCGCACTTTTAGATGGAAAAATAATTCCTATCATTCCCAGCATTGCTCCATGGAATGGAGGAAATGGCTGGAAAATGCTGCGAGTTCTAGGACCTTTTTCGTCTAAATACGCGTAGGAATATGGCGTAACAGTCAGAGCGCTTGCTCGATCGACCTTTAAAAAAAATCTTCGAATTTTATTGTACAGTTACAGGTAATTTTGATTCTGTGAAACAGTCCGATCCAATTAATATATTTACTTGCGTTGAGATGACAGCATTGCAACAGTATATTTCAGAAGAGAAGTAAGGATTTATTGCAAGAAAGTGCCAGTTCTAGAATTTTAAGGCAATTTGGAAGAACAGAAGTATAAAGTCGTGCAAAGACTCCATTTCGAGGTTTGACGTCTTACGGTTTTCCGTGGAGGCACCTTGAGATGTCGCTGCTTAAATATTTCGCATTCAGACTTCTAGTTTGTTCAAGAATAACAGCAGCGCCTGTGCACATTATTTCCTTGCTGAAAGAAGTCTCGGAGAAATATGTACGTATTATTTCTCGGTCCTTGCTTCTTCATGCGAAGGACAGAGGCTCAAAACAGCTTGCAAGCATTAAGGCCTTTTGTTCGCAGAGCTTCAGCGTGAGCGTCAGGATGGCCGAGTGGTCTAAGGCGCCAGACTCAAGGCTTGTACCTTCCCTGCTCTGGGTGTTCTGGTCTCCAAATGGAGGCGTGGGTTCAAATCCCACTTCTGACAAATCACATTTTTGTCTTTTTCCCCCTCTTCACGTAGTTCCCCCGAAGAACGAATGAAAGTTGCAAGAAATACTAAAAATCTTACAGAAAAAATGTAAATGAAAATTTAATCTTCCTGTTTATGATACTGCCTTGTTCTTGCGTTCATGTCTTTCATGTTTCCTTCTTTCACTTTCAAGTTCCTTTTGCTGCTTGCAATGTATTTTGTGGGTATAGAATCAAGGAGTGGTACAAAAAGAATTATGTTTTTATTTTTAACTTTACAATTTAAGCATTCATGCTTTCAAGACGCTTTGCCTTATAGAAGACAGGTAGCTTCTAAGTGTCAAGTTTTTATTGCTGCTTGTCTAGGAAAAGGGACAAAAATGTTTTAATCTGCTGAATAACACGATCTATAGCATAACACGATAATGACCAGTAACTGAATTAATTTTGTCGTTGTTATCGCTATTGTTATTCCAGGCAGTCAAGACAAATGCTACTGAAGAACTGAATCTAATTATGGACTGTATATAGTTTTGTGCAGAGAATGGTTGCAGCTTCCCTGGTGGTCTAGTGGTTAGGATTCGGCGCTCTCACCGCCGCGGCCCGGGTTCGATTCCCGGTCAGGGAATACCTTTTGGAAAAACGTGTATTTTAAAAATGATTCTATTTTTTCTTTTTTGCAAAATATGCCTCTTGTTTGAAGGTACTTAGAGTAACATCTGGCTCTTTCCTCCTTTTTACAGTGGTACATTCTGAGGAAAAATCGAGAAAAATACTGAAAAAAATTAAAGCATACAAGAACACTGTTTTGTTCAGTATTTTAAAATAGGGATTTATTTTAATAATCACCAAACATATCATTCTTTAAAAATAAATTAGGAAATGGTGATTAGCAATATTTCTATACTGCTTTTCATTTGCACATATCCAGAAACAGGTCATAAAATCACAAAAACACAATATGACAAATACTGTAGTACCATAGCAGAGGCAGATTCACATGGCTGGGGGAAGGCCAGAGAAAAAGTAGTGCCTAAAACTTCCTAGGATTTTGCTCAGTCTCCTTCAGAGGGGATGTCATTCCACAAGGTGGGTATCACCACAGAGAAGGCCAGTTTCTGTGCCAAATGGAAATCTTTAGGTTTGCCGCACCAACAATGCCTGAAGAGAATTGCAGCCTGAGAGGCTGGGGTAGGGGTGCAGAAAGTGCAGCTCACAGGCTGCATTAGGCCAGCACCCTGCAATGTCAGCTTCTTTATCAGAAATGTTTCTTTCTTTCTTATGATATTGCTTTTTTCCTTCTCCCTCATCTCTCTCTCTCTCTCATCAGATATTTTGTCACCACACCATTTTCCCCCCGCATTCTGCAACCTACTGCTCATTACCATTAGACAAAGTGAAGCTTCAGGCATCTGATTTGGGCTATTACAAAAGGACAGCAAATTGTTTTGTTTGTTTGTTTATTATTCTGGTGTCTGTATTGCCAGGGATGGGGAGAAGTGCTGATGGGACCCTTTGCTCCAAGTATCAAAACCTCTTGATGGGCCTTGGATAGGGCTGGCCCAAGACATTTTGCTGTGCAAGGCAAA